GGCTTTATAGTAAGTCTTGAATTCTTTCTTTTTCTTTTTTTTTTTAAGTTTTGAATTCTGAGAGTGAAAGTCCTCGATACTCCCCTTTTTATAAATTGCTTTGGCTATTCTCAATTTTCTGCTTTTCCACATAAATTTCAGTTGCCTTACTGATTTCTACCAAAAAGCCTACTGGGATTTTGACCGAGATTGTGTGTTAAACACATTTGAAAAGAAATGACATCTTGACCGTACTGAGTCTTCAGTCCATAAGCATGATATGTTTCCATTTACCTAGGTCTTCTTTGATTTCTCTTATCAATGTTCGGTAGTTTTCAGCATAAAAAATATTATATATATTTTGTCACATTTATCACTAAGTATTTCATGTTCTTGGTGCTCTTATAAAAGGCACAGGTTTTTTATTTCAATGTCCAATTGTTCATTGCCAGCATATAGAAAAACAAGTGATTTCTATATATTGACTCATAGTAGCTAGTAGCTTTCTTTTTTTGTGTAGAATCTTTAGGTTTTCTACTAAAATTATACAATCTATGAATAAAGATAGTCTTATTTCTTCTTTCCTAACCTAAATGTACTTGAATTCTTTTTCTTGCCATATTATATCGGCTAGGATCTATAGTACATTAGATTACAATGGTAAGAGTAGGCTATCTTATCCATGCTCTCAATCTTAGGAAGAAAGATAATGTATTGCTAAGTATAATTGCTAAGTATAATGTTAGCTGAAGGTTTTTGTAGATGCCCTTTATCAAGTTGAGAAAGTTCCCTTCTACTCTGGCTTTATTGAGAATTTTCATCATGAACAGCTGATGAGTTTGTTAACTGATTTTCCTTCCTGCATCTACTGAAATCATCTTTTATTAATATGTTGTGATGGATTTTATGTGTTTATTTTTTTTAAAGATTGTATTTATTTATTTATTTATTCATGAGAGACAGAGAGAGGCAGAGACACAGGCAGAGGGAGAAGCAGGCTCCATGCAGGGAGCCCGACGCAGGGTCTGATCCCGGGACTCCAGGATCACACCCTGAGCCAATGGCAGGCGCTCAACCGCTGACCCACTCAGGGATCCCCAAATTTTATAGTTTAATGTTGCATTCAAAATCCACCTTGTATTCCTGAAATAAGCTCCACTCAATTTATTGCTGGATTTAATTTGCTAATATATTGTTAAGGATTTCTGTGTTTATGTTTATAATGGATATTGGTCTGTAGTTTTCTTGTATATTTTCTGGAAGACTTGTATAGAATTGATATTTCTCCTTTAAATTTTTGGTAGATATTACCAATAATATCATTTGGACCTAGAGTTTTCTTTGCAAGATTTTAAACTACAAATTCAATTTTTCTAACAGATAAAGGATGATTTCGGTTATCTATTTCTTCCTCAGTAAGTAATTTGTGTCTTTCAAAGCATTTGTTCATCTCAGTTATCAAACTTAATAGAACAAAGCTATTCAGACATTCCTTTATTATCATTTAATGTCTAGAGGATATATTGGGATATTCCCTCTTTCATTCCTGACTTTACTAGTTTGTTTTTTTCTTTTTCTCTTGGTCAATTTGGGTAAAGTTTAGGGTAAAGTTTTATCACTTTTATTGGTCTTTCAAAGATCTAGCTTTTTATTTCATTGAGGTTTTTTTCTCCATTGTTTTTCTGTTTTCTTTTTTGTTTGTTTTTCTGTTTTCAATTACATTGATTTCTGCTCTTATTTTTATTATCTCCTTCCTTCTGTATTCTTTGAGTTTAATTTATTCTTCTTTTTCTATTTCTTACAAACTTAGATCATTGATTTGTCATCTTTCTTTTCTGTATAAGCATTTAATTGTACAAATTTCCCTATAAGCACTGAGTTAGCCACATTTCACAAATTTTGATATGTTGTATTTTCATTTTGATTTACTTCAAAATATTTTCTAAGTTCTCTTGTGATTTATTCTTTAACATAGGTTATTTAGAAGTGTTTGCTTAACTACCAAATATTTAGGGATTTTCCAGATATGTTTAGATTAGTGATTTCTAATTTAATTCTTTTTGTGGATCAAAAAACATACACTGTACCATTTCAGTCTTTTAAATCTGTTGAGTTTTATTATATGGCCCAGAATACTGTCTACCTTGGTGAATATCTCATGTGTACTTGAAAGAAATGCATTTTCTGCCCGCAGTGAGTAGAATGTTTTATAAATGTTAATTAGATGAAATTTGTGGTGTTATTCAGGTCTTCTGACTTTCTAGATTTAATTTGCTAACATTTTTGTCTATTAGTTCTATCAATCACTAAGAGAGAAGATTGAAATCTTCATGAATGCAAGGATCCTTGCATACAAACATATGGAAGCACATACAATGTGACATTCAAAATTAAGTACAGATTATACTTTTAAACTTTCCCCCACATATTAAAAGCATTGCATGTTCACCGAAAAGAAATTTTAAAATTCAATAAAGTACTCATACTATCACCTAAGGAAATGATATCTAGAGTGTCAAAGCACCAGACATGGTCTTGACCCTATCCACCATCTCAGATCCACAGCCAGAGGGCAGACTGGAATGCCTGGCTTCCTGCCCACAACTCAGAGGACATTGGACATTCACTTACCATAGTTCTACTAAACTGAAATAGAATCTTTTTAACTTCCTGGCTTTCTGATACTATATAGATCTCTAAAGCCTTTTCCAAGCTTAAGAATTTTAAGAATTCTTTTTCTTCCTATCAAATGCCAGTGTAATCTGAGTACAGTTCCCATATAATGACATTCTGCTATCTAATATTATATTACTATTAGAAATAATAAACAATATTAAAAATAGGATCAAAAAAAGGTTAAAAGCAAATATTAAAAATTTAAATGTAGTACCAATATATATAAAATTAATTCAAGTCCCAAGAGAAAAGCAATATCTGCAATTCATACATTCAAAAATATTTACTGAGTGCCTACTATGTGTTAGGCACTGTTTCTGCTGAGAATAAAGTGGTGAACAAAGTAGACAGTTCCGGTGGCCAGTCTATGGGGTGGAGGAGACACACAATTATAATAAATATATAACATGCTAGAGGGTGAAAACTGTAATGAAGAAACATCCCAAGCATGATAAGGAAGATAGGAAGGCAAGGAGTGTGGTTAACACTTACATGGTAAGGAAAGTCCTCATTAATAAGAGGACAGGAGAGAAGAAATCATATGCATATTTGTAGGGGAAATATTCCAGACTAGGAATAACAAACACTTATTGAGGTGGGAATGTTTGCTGGTATCTTAAGGAACTATAAAGAGGCATACAGTCTGCAATTTTGAAAGGGATAAATTAGATAGTCACATATTGTTTTCAGCTAGTTAGCTTCATGGGAAGTCGCTTATTCAAAGTACAGCTCAAAAACCTAAAAGTTCAAGATTTTTCATTTAAATGAGGTAATTAGGCCAGGAAAATCCCCACACTTCCCAAAGGAAGTATTTTTCAAAATCCTTCTAAAACCAACAATAACTTGTCACAAAAACCACTACTATCCTATGTTACAGAAGTGCATATTATATTCTACATTTATCTCCAAAGAGAAAAACAAAGGCAAAGACAGAGAGTTGGAATAACTACCTACTTTTTCAGAGGGCGCTAATAAAAACAAAGAAAAGCAGAGCCCTTTTCTCACTCAGGAAAATAAATTACCTCAGAAAAACACTGAGAAATACTAGCCTACAATTACTATTTAAAAGTAAACAAATACAACTTTTAAAAAGTGAATTTTCATATTTTGCATAGGATTAACTCAAGCAACCAGTATGAATTAATAAAATAAGCATACATACTTAATTTTTCCATTTAATCAAATAACCTTACAAAATTTTTAAAAATTCCCTTGGCCAGGGAAAACATGGATTTGGAATTATCATTTTAATCAACTACAATAAAGTTTAAAAGATGAGTGTCATCCAGGATAAACTTTACAACCCTTGACTTCACCAGGAATTACATCATATAATCCAAAATATGAATTAAAAAGCCATTAAGAAATGTAGAACTTTTTATATGCCACATTTTCTACTTTGACTTCCTGCTTGGGTTTATAAATCTCAAAGGCTGTGTGGTAGTTTACAGCATTGGTACATATTATAAAGATACAAACTTTTAATTTTCCATTACGAATCTAAATTTCATTTTCATTTTCATTTCCAAACACGAATCTAAAAATTATAAAATCATAATTAAATTTTATCTCAGTTTAAAGAATTTTCTTATCTTCTGCTGAGATGATGTCTGGCTAAAATTGAAAAGTCTAACTATACTAAATGTTGGTGAGGCTGCAGAATAAACAGAACTCTCCTCTGTACTGCTAATGGTAAAGCAATCAGTACACACACCTTATAGCTTACCCACCACAAACCCTTGCAAGATACCCGCATCTTCAGATTTACTCATCACCACCCCACTATGGAAAGTGGTGTCAACAGTAATCTCTCAAGGTTTCCTTACTGATATTTTCAATACTGTCACTCCCAACACACTAAAATGTGATAGTCAACCTCTGGCCATTTGGAGCAAACCAAATGTCTTATACAGTGTATAAGACAGCACTGAACATTATAATATAGTATCTAAATCTAAAATATTTATAACATTGACAAATATTGCCATAGAAGAAATGACAGGAATAGATCTAGGCAATTTCATATAGTTCTAGTAGTTCATATTGACCTGGGTGTTTAAAAAGTAATACAAAGCATACACAGAGAGTCAACAATGAGATGGAAGAAAAAGACTGACTAAAGGAATTTTTACAAACAACGTTAAATCTGCTCCTGACTCCAGCTGTGAAAAAGATAACCTCAACAGTTGAACAAATTTAAGAAGATGGTGGTATTTGCTATAGCAATTAGACCATGCTATCTTTAACACATCATCTGTTTTACATTTTCTTCTAATGATATTAGTTGATGTTATAGGTCAGTGAACTTAACATAAAAGAAAACACAGAAAAAGAAAAAAACTTACTGGGATTGAAAATTCCTCAGCCAAATACTTCAAGGAGGCCGCTTCTCTTGCCAAGAACTTGTTTCTTTCTCTCATGTTGCCCTGAAGTTGTGTATCAAACTCCTTTCTTACCACAGAAGCAACAGAGTCAATAATTACGAGTTTAACTCCCTTGGAAATAATTTCTTCTTCCAAAGATTCAATCCTATAAAAGCAGAATTTGCAAAATAGTGGATAAATTTAAGATATAATATAAAATGGCATATTACAAAGATGTACCAACTTAAAAACAATGCCAACCAATTGTTCTTCCCTAAATTACAGTAATGATTGCGAGTATTCAATAATCCTAACTTATTTCCAGCTCTTTTATACATATAGCACTCTTTTGAAAATGTACCAAAATGTTTTCATTTGGTTTCTTTCTCTGGTTCTCCTACGATCCTGCTACTTTTAGGGTAAAATTGCTTGTTATCAGCCCTCGTTTACTCCCACCTGGTATTGACAGCCTTGTGCAGTCCCCTCCCACAATTACCAGGGTTGGTCTGTATAACCAACAGCATATGACAAAATGATGAGATGTCACTACTGAGAGTAGGTTATAAAAGACTACAGCTGCCCTCCTGGGCTCTCTCTCACTTGCCCACTCTCTCAAATCACTCTCCCTGGGGAAGGCAAGTTGCCATGTTGTTACAGCTCTATGGAAAGGACCACATGGTAAGGAAGAGAGGCCTCTGGCCAACGGACAGTAAGGAAAGGAGGCCTTCCAGTGGCCTTGGAATTCTCCAAGATTCTCCAGCCCTGTTTGAGCCTTGAGATGACCATAGTCCTGGCTGACAGCTTGACTGCAACCTCTTCTGCAACCCTGAGCCAGAAACACTCAGCTAAACCACTCCCAGATACCTAAGCCTCTGCTACTACATGAGATGATACATGTTTGCCTTTTTAAGCTGCTGAATAGGGGATCCCTGGGTGGCTCAGTGGTTTAGCACCTGCCTTTGGCCCAGGGCGTGATCCTAGGGACCCAAGATCAAGTCCTGCAACAGGCTCTCTGCATGGAAACTGCTTCTCCCTCTGCCGATATCTCTGTCTCTCTCTATGTGCGTGTCTCTCATGAATAAATAAAATCTTTAAAAAATATAATAAGCTGCTGAATATTGGGAGTAACCTGTTAATGGAATAGGTAATTAATACATCACTTAAATAATTAATTAAGTCTAAAACATTTCATTCATTCAATATGTTGTTTTCATTTTTAAAGAAATGTCTTATCCAATAGGTTATAGCAAATAACACTGAAATAATTATTTCCCATAACCCTAATACATATGCAGAAACTTTTTCACTCAGAAGCTAAAAACATAAAAAACAAAAAATAAATCTTCAAAGTATTACCAAAATCTAAAGCATCATACCTTTGCAGAACTTCATCACAGCTGAGTTCCCGATAAAGATGAACTTTACTGCTTGTCAAAAGTAATTTCTCTTCAGTGTTAAAATATCTGGGAAAACGAGATTCTGCTATCTCAACCAGTCTGTAGGGAAGAAAAATTGCACAAGTGAAAACAGTTAATGATATTTAAGGCTGGAATGCTGAATGTCTAATGAATTTTACTTAGGAAACTCATAAGCCACAAGTAACACAGAACAAAAATAGAGTAGGTATAAGCAAAATGCCTTAATATATTATTTTAGATAGTAAGCCTTCCTTTATAAAAACTAAGAGAGAGAGGTTAGCAGTCAGAGCATGAGGCCAGCAAGTGCTTTCAGATCTCATCTAAGGTTAAGTACACAACAATGTCCTGAGGTTTATCTTTCTAGAAATAGATACATTTTTCAATAAATGATAATTTGACTATATGTTTAGTAAATAAGAAAAATTATTTCATGATCATGAATGAAATATATTTGAACAAATATATATTATCATTGTAACAATCAAGTATCAGTTAAGTCTCCATGTCTTAGAACAGAAAAATATGCTTTCTCAATTAAAACTTAATACATACAAAATAAATGCTACCCAATAGCTTCTTGGTAAACAGGAAATTATTTTCTTTTTTTTTTGTTTTGTTTTTTTAGGATATTATTTTCTAAACAAATGGACATTGTCCAATATTTCCTTAGTAAAGAAAAAATGATTTTCTAATTCCGAACTCAAGGCCTGATCTAATGCATGGGGTAGGCCAAGTGTAGGACAGTGGCAAGGCCAAACAGATGCAAATATCATCAATAAAAGCTTAGGACATGGAGCTCAGTACTAGAAATTTCAAATATTTCTGGTTAAAGATATAAAAGTGTAAATCATTGAGTAAATTGTCTCCTACTTAAAATGATACTTTATCAGCCTGGTACTTAACCATCCAAGGATGACTGGGGGGAAGGACTATAAACACAAGAATCACCCTATACTTTGTGTTCCATTTAAAGTTACAAAAGTACAAAGAACCGTGTTTTCATTTCTACATAGTTAATGAGTCCTAAGGAGAGGCTGAGAACTTTAAGGAGATAAACAAAAGAAGTTTCTCACATAATTTATAATCAGAAGTGAAAAAGAAAAATCTAAAATAGAGAAAGAGAGAAATAAAACTGGTCAATATTTTTAAGTATATTTTGAATAATTGAAAAAAAAGGCATCATTAGGTTGAACAGGAGAAGGAAAAATTACTTTACCAAAAGATGTGTACAGGCTGAGAACAAAATGGATCAAATGAACATTCAGGGAAAGCGCCTGTGAGACACACACAGGGTGGAAAAAAGGCGGCAACAAGAGATGAAAGCAGAAATGAGATGACATTGGCACAGTCAGGACAGGTACATTTTAAGGATTTGAGGAAAACGTCTAAGTCTCTTGATTAAGGTAACTATTTGCTGAGTTTGGAGCTGGTCAGAGAAGTCAACTAAAATAAAAGCTCTGATGCTTGCAACCCACTAATTTTTAATAGGATAGGTATGGCAACATCTGCCAAAAACCTGCAAGTTTTCCAAAACTGGACGCCCAGTTGATTAGGTACTGAGTACTTATCTCAGTCAGTGAGTACCTAACTCATTGGCAACAACAACTGAATAGCTGACAGACAATAATAATTTTCTGCTTTTAACACTAGGCTGAATTTCAGCTGGTGCCTTGAGTGGTAAAAGGCTCTCTCATTCCATTAAGGCCCCTCAGAAGGAAGGTGGTCAATGTATGGACACAAAGTGACTTTACTCACAGTTACCATGCTAAATAACTGTATCAAATGGTTATTTATATATCAATACACTATAATTTTCTATAATCAGGTTTTCTAAGTATTTTTTTATTTTAGAAAAGATATCTAAAAAATACAGAAATCCAAAACCAAATACAAATGTAGTATCTATATGCCTCATATTAATTATAGCAATTTATTGTGACAATCTTCATCACAAGTATCTTTCTTGGTTAGAGGAACAACAGAAAAGATCCTATCTTTTGCTCCCATTTACTACAGAAAGTTTGAAAGCAATGCCATCTAGTGGACATCTCTTCATAAAAAGTATTCAAGTATGGACTTAAGATTCCTTCATTTGAAACATTTAGTGAAGGGCGCCTGGGTGGCTCAGTTGGTTAGGCGTCTGACTCTTGGTTGCTTGGGTCATGATCTCAAGGTTGTGGGATTAAGCCCTGCATTGGGCTTTGTGCTCAGTGCAGAGTTTGCTTCAGATTCTCCCTCTCACTCACCCTCTGTCTCTCTCTCAAATAAATAAATAAACTCTCAAAACACACACACACACACACACACACACACACACACACATTTATTGAGGATCTACTAAATACCAGGCACGATTCTAGGTGACACTGAAAAACAACAACAAAAACAAAAACAAAAAAGCTTCCCTTGTGGAACTTACAGTCTACTGAGAGGCACAAACAAATAAATATATACTATATATCAGGTATTAAGTGCTCTCAAGAAAAATGAGCCAGAATGAGGGAACAGACTGTGACAGATAGAGGCAAGTACTATTTTATGTAAAGTGGCCTGGGAAAGTCTCTTTAATAAGGTGAACTGAAGCAATGGTTTAAGGGAGATGAGAAAATGAACCATGGGATACCCAATGGAATAGTGTATAGGAAAAGAGAATTCTATATAATAAGGGCTTGGGGTGCCTGGAGTGATCAAGGAATAAACAAGGATGCCAACATAGCTAGAACACAGGAAACAAGAGGGAGAATAAGAGGAAATGAGGTCAGAGTGCTAGCCAGGGGCCAAGGTCACATAAGATCCTTAGGTCTATGGTATTTTATTTAGATATTATTTAGTAAAATAAGAAACCTGAAAGCCGAACTGACATGATCTGACTTCTTTTTCTTTTTCTTTTTTTTTTTAAAGAATCACTCTACCAAAATGGAAAAGAGGCTGTACATGGGGCATGGGTGAAAGCAAGACCAGCTAGTACAGTAGTCCAGATAAGAGATGATGGTGACTTGACCTGGAGAAGAGCTCAGCTGATTAGAAGTGAACCTAAGGTAGAGTTCAAAAGAAGAGCTGAAGGGATTTCTTGACTAATTGGATGAGAATCTGGAGGAATGGAATTACCATTCACTGAAGTGGAAAAAACTGGATCCGTTCCAGGTTTTTGTTATTAGTTCCCCCTGTTACTTCACAGCTCTTGTATAAAAGGAAAGTTAAATGCTTTACATTAGTGACCACATGACAACTTGAAACAAAACACATGCTTAATGTAAAAAGAAAAAAAAAGTTTTCCAAAATTCTAGTTGAAATATAGCATCATAAATGTGCTGAAATAGAAGTTTATGGTTCCTCAAAGCTGCCTGTACATATGTAATATTTTCCTGTTCATTAATTCAGTATGGATTTGTTCAGCACTGTGATATAAATACAACAATGTGAATCTATTAGTCCTTTACAGCTTTCAGAAAATTCCAAAGTTTTGTTTTAATAAGTACTTATGACTAATTTCATTCTCTATCTTAGAACCTCTTCAAGATCTCCCCACTAATTCACCTAGATTCACAAATGATAAGTAGCTGAAATTAGACTCAAGTGAAACCTACCCAGACTTAAGAAGCCATCTCACTATTGTTTGCCCCTGGGTCACAGATCCTGGATTCATGTCAACAAATATATAAGTAAATGGTCTTAAGGCCACACTGGTAATTATCTTTCTAATGAGCCAAAGTCATGGATAGCCACTAACACTATATGCCTCCCTCCTGATATATTTATTCAGAAAAAGTGACATTCTAAATAGTCTGGGGAATTGGAGGGCACTAGCTATGGGATACTTAAAACCTTGAGAGGTGACAGGCAGCTCTTCAGATCTAAGCTTGACCACTGCTTCCACATAGTATCAATACAACATACACCTCTCCTTTGTGCATGGACTTATAATAGTTACAATTCTACACATTCGTGATTATTTAATGTCTTCCTCTCCTGTTGAACTACATTTCTTCCTAGTTTTCAGAGCTATTCTGATTTCATGACAACTCAGGACTGCCCACTTCCATCTCCTAAATTCCCAAACTGATATTCCACTTCCCCAGGTCCATACCTTCCAGAGTCTCAGACCCCATCTCTTATTTCATCCTTCAGTTTGCCTCATACACATACCCACTTGCAGTTCTAAGACCTAGTTTTATCTTCTTTTATCCATTTTATTTCTCCCAAAATTGTATTTTTTTTAAAGATTTATTTATTTATTCATTCAGAGAGAGAGACAGGCAGAGACAGAAGCAGGCTCCATGCAGGGAGCGCAATGTGGGACTCGATCCTAGGTCTCCAGGATCACGCCCTGGGCTGCAGGTGGCGCCAAACCGCTGCGCCACCGGGGCTGCCCCCAAAATTGTATTTTGAAAACATCTATTACTATTTACCATCCTTCCTTTTTTATTCTTAACCTCTGGTTCCATCCTTTCCTAATTACCTCCAAAACGGATAATACAGTAGTCACTCAATTCACATATACTAGAATTCTCATGGTTGCCAAAATTTCTGTACAGTCACTAGATTAATCTGTTTATCCATATTCTCAATGCATGTAAGCATAGAGTACCTATAACTATATCAGATCTTAAGCAGACTCTTCTGAATCAATGAGAAAGGGAGATCCAGAACTCTACTTACTATCAATCCCCTCTTGCCGAAGTAGTCCCTGAATACCTTAGCACTAGATTCTACTATTATGTAATTATTAATAAGTATGGAGATATAATTTCAGTCTATGGTGAACATACTTAACTATACTATTTTATTTTATTTTTTTAATATTTTATTTATTTATTCATGAGAAACACAGAGAGAGGCAGAGACATAGGCAGAGGGAGAAGCAGGCTCCTTACAAGGAACCTGGTGTGGGACTCGATCCCAGAACCCCAGGATTACACCCTGAGCCAAAGGCAGAACCGCTGAGTCACCCAGGTGTCCCTTAACATACTATTTTAGATTATCTTCTCAAAGATATGTAAAAATAAACTTTCTTTTTTAAGATTTTATTTATTCATGAGAGACACAGAGAGAGAAAGAAGCAGAGACAAAGGCAGAGG